TAGAAATAACCAACATGAAAATGGGTCAAAAAGTCGGTCAACGCTAAAATGAAAATTTTGAATGCAGATTTTCAGAGAATCGAACCACAAGTCTTTAGAGGTATGCCACTTTGAAATCGGATAATATTTGGCAAAGATATGGAATCTAGGAGTCCAATTTGAAGTCATCTTTGGGCAACTCATCGGAAACTTAGAAATAACCAACATGAAAATGGGTCAAAAAGTCGGTCAACGCTAAAATGAAAATTTTGAATGCAGATTTTTAGAGAATCCAACCACAAGTCTTTAGAGGTATGCCACTTTGAAATCGGATAATATTTGGCAAAATTATGGCATCTAGGAGTCCAATTGGGAGTCATCTTTGGGCAACTCATCGGAAACTTAGAAATAACCAACATGAAAATGGGTCAAAAAGTCGGTAAACGCTAAAATGAAAATTTTGAATGCAGATTTTTGGGGAATCCAACCACAAGTCTTTAGAGGTATGCCACTTTGAAATCGGATAATATTTGGTAAAGTTATGGAATCTAGGAGTCCAATTGGAAGTCATATTTGGGCAACTCATCGGAAACTTAGAAATAACCAACATGAAAATGGGTCAAAAAGTCGATCAACGCTAAAATGAAAATTTTGAATGCAGATTTTTAGGGAATCCAACCACAAGTCTTTAGAGGTATGCCACTTTGAAATCGGATAATATTTGGTAAAGTTATGGAATCTAGGAGTCCAATTGGGAGTCATCTTTGGGCAACTCATCGGAAACTTAGAAATAACCAACATGAAAATGGGTCAAAAAGTCGGTCAACACTAAAATGAAAATTTTGAATGCAGATTTTTGGGGAATCCAACCACAAGTCTTTAGAGGTATGCCACTTTGAAATCGGATAATATTTGGCAAAGTTATGGCATCTAGGAGTCCAATTGGGAGTCATCTTTGGGCAACTCATCGGAAACTTAGAAATAACCAACATGAAAATGGGTCAAAAAGTCGGTAAACGCTAAAATGAAAATTTTGAATGCAGATTTTTGGGGAATCCAACCACAAGTCTTTAGAGGTATGCCACTTTGAATTCGGATAATATTTGGTAAAGTTATGGAATCTAGGAGTCCAATTGGGCGTCATCTTTGGGCAACTCATCGGAAACTTAGAAATAACCAACATGAAAATGGGTCAAAAAGTCGGTCAACGCTAAAATGAAAATTTTGAATGCAGATTTTTAGAGAATCCAACCACAAGTCTTTAGAGGTATGCCACTTTGAAATCGGATAATATTTGGTAAAGTTATGGAATCTAGGAGTCCAATTGGGCGTCATCTTTGGGCAACTCATCGGAAACTTAGAAATAACCAACATGAAAATGGGTCAAAAAGTCGGTCAACGCTAAAATAAAAATTTTGAATGCAGATTTTTAGGGAATCCAACCACAAGTCTTTAGAGGTATGCCACTTTGAAATCGGATAATATTTGGTAAAGTTATGGAATCTAGAAGTCCAATTGGGAGTTATCTTTGGGCAACTCATCGGAAACTTAGAAATAACCAACATGAAAATGGGTCAAAAAGTCGGTCAACGCTAAAATGAAAATTTTGAATGCAGATTTTTAGAGAATCCAACCACAAGTCTTTAGAGGTATGCCACTTTGAAATCGGATAATATTTGGCAAAGTTATGGAATCTAGGAGTCCAATTGGGAGTCATCTTTGGGCAACTCATCGGAAACTTAGAAATAACCAACATGAAAATGGGTCAAAAAGTCGGTCAACGCTAAAATGAAAATTTTGAATGCAGATTTTTAGGGAATCCAACCACAAGTCTTTAGAGGTATACCACTTTGAAATCGGATAATATTTGGCAAAGTTATGGCATCTAGGAGTCCAATTGGGAGTCATCTTTGGGCAACTCATCGGAAACTTAAAAACAACCAACATGAAAATGGGTCAAAAAGTCGGTAAACGCTAAAATGAAAATTTTGAATGCAGATTTTTAGGGAATCCAACCACAAGTCTTTAGAGGTATGCCACTTTGAAATCGGATAATATTTGGCAAAGTTATGGCATCTAGGAGTCCAATTGGGAGTCATCTTTGGGCAACTCATCGGAAACTTAGAAATAACCAACATGAAAATGGGTCAAAAAGTCGGTCAACGCTAAAATGAAAATTTTGAATGCAGATTTTCAGAGAATCGAACCACAAGTCTTTAGAGGTATGCCACTTTGAAATCGGATAATATTTGGCAAAGATATGGAATCTAGGAGTCCAATTTGAAGTCATCTTTGGGCAACTCATCGGAAACTTAGAAATAACCAACATGAAAATGGGTCAAAAAGTCGGTCAACGCTAAAATGAAAATTTTGAATGCAGATTTTTAGAGAATCCAACCACAAGTCTTTAGAGGTATGCCACTTTGAAATCGGATAATATTTGGCAAAGTTATGGCATCTAGGAGTCCAATTGGGAGTCATCTTTGGGCAACTCATCGGAAACTTAGAAATAACCAACATGAAAATGGGTCAAAAAGTCGGTAAACGCTAAAATGAAAATTTTGAATGCAGATTTTTGGGGAATCCAACCACAAGTCTTTAGAGGTATGCCACTTTGAAATCGGATAATATTTGGTAAAGTTATGGAATCTAGGAGTCCAATTGGAAGTCATATTTGGGCAACTCATCGGAAACTTAGAAATAACCAACATGAAAATGGGTCAAAAAGTCGATCAACGCTAAAATGAAAATTTTGAATGCAGATTTTTAGGGAATCCAACCACAAGTCTTTAGAGGTATGCCACTTTGAAATCGGATAATATTTGGTAAAGTTATGGAATCTAGGAGTCCAATTGGGAGTCATCTTTGGGCAACTCATCGGAAACTTAGAAATAACCAACATGAAAATGGGTCAAAAAGTCGGTCAACACTAAAATGAAAATTTTGAATGCAGATTTTTGGGGAATCCAACCACAAGTCTTTAGAGGTATGCCACTTTGAAATCGGATAATATTTGGCAAAGTTATGGCATCTAGGAGTCCAATTGGGAGTCATCTTTGGGCAACTCATCGGAAACTTAGAAATAACCAACATGAAAATGGGTCAAAAAGTCGGTAAACGCTAAAATGAAAATTTTGAATGCAGATTTTTGGGGAATCCAACCACAAGTCTTTAGAGGTATGCCACTTTGAAATCGGATAATATTTGGTAAAGTTATGGAATCTAGGAGTCCAATTGGGCGTCATCTTTGGGCAACTCATCGGAAACTTAGAAATAACCAACATGAAAATGGGTCAAAAAGTCGGTCAACGCTAAAATAAAAATTTTGAATGCAGATTTTTAGGGAATCCAACCACAAGTCTTTAGAGGTATGCCACTTTGAAATCGGATAATATTTGGTAAAGTTATGGAATCTAGAAGTCCAATTGGGAGTTATCTTTGGGCAACTCATCGGAAACTTAGAAATAACCAACATGAAAATGGGTCAAAAAGTCGGTCAACGCTAAAATGAAAATTTTGAATGCAGATTTTTAGAGAATCCAACCACAAGTCTTTAGAGGTATGCCACTTTGAAATCGGATAATATTTGGCAAAGTTATGGAATCTAGGAGTCCAATTGGGAGTCATCTTTGGGCAACTCATCGGAAACTTAGAAATAACCAACATGAAAATGGGTCAAAAAGTCGGTCAACGCTAAAATGAAAATTTTGAATGCATATTTTTAGAGAATCCAACCACAAGTCTTTAGAGGTATGCCACTTTGAAATCGGATAATATTTGGCAAAGTTATGGAATCTAGGAGTCCAATTGGGAGTCATCTTTGGGCAACTTATCGGAAACTTAGAAATAACCAACATGAAAATGGGTCAAAAAGTCGGTCAACGCTAAAATGAAAATTTTGAATGCAGATTTTGAGAGAATCCAACCACAAGTCTTTAGAGGTATGCCACTTTGAAATCGGATAATATTTGGCAAAGTTATGGCATCTAGGAGTCCAATTGGGAGTCATCTTTGGGCAACTCATCGGAAACTTAGAAATAACCAACATGAAAATGGGTCAAAAAGTCGGTCAACGCTAAAATGAAAATTTTGAATGCAGATTTTGAGAGAATCCAACCACAAGTCTTTAGAGGTATGCCACTTTGAAATCGGATAATATTTGGCAAAGTTATGGCATCTAGGAGTCCAATTGGGAGTCATCTTTGGGCAACTCATCGGAAACTTAAAAATAACCAACATGAAAATGGGTCAAAGAGTCGGTCAACGCTAAAATGAAAATTTTAAATGCAGATTTAATTTAATAATTTTGGTCAAAAGTGTGCAACGCAGTGAAGGAGACATCTCCGACCTTATAAAGTATATATATTCTTGATCAGGATCGCGTACTGAGTTGATATAAGCATGTCCGTCTGTCTGTTTCTACGCAAACTAGTTTTTCAGTTTTAAAGATATCGAATTGAAACTTTGCACACACCCTTCTTTAATTTGCACGCAGTATATAAGTTGGAACGATCGGGATTGGCCGACTATATCCTATAGCTGCCATATAACTGAACGATTGGAAATGCCATAACTTTGGTGTTTGTAAAGTTAGGAAGTTGGGATTTTCTATGGGTTTTGTGGACAACCAATTTAATTTACAGAATATTCTGCAAGGGTATATCAACTTCGGCTCCGCCCGAAGTTAGCTTTCCTTGTTTTTCAATTTATGTTTCTGTTCTTCATAATTAGTTCAATGACTTTAAACAATTTCATAATCTTACAAATGAAAAACATTAAACAGTGGGGTATTCAGTCATTTAATACACTACCTCCCAAAGAAGAAAGAAAACACTTGTTTGAAAAGTATTTCAAATGAAAAAAAAAAATTGAATTTTAAAACCAAAAAAAGTATATAGATTGCGGCATATTCCGAATAACGAGAGGTGGGCATGGATGATAACGCTTTAAATTTAGATATACACCTTTATTCTCAGTGTATGCCTTGACTTTATTCCACTGCTTTCTTGCCTCCCGAGCAGTTCAGAAGCGTCGTCTGCGTGCCAAGAAACTGCTCCAGCAGAGCCGTCCCAGCATTTGGAGCAACATGTCCACCTTGCAGACGCAACAGCAGCTGATGGCCGCCCGGAATCGCGCCTTCTCCACAACGCTGAGCGATGCGGATATTGCCCTGCTGCCCCATATAAACTGGAGCCAACTGAAGCTGCTCCGATTCCTGGGAAGCGGAGCCTTCGGCGAGGTGTACGAGGGTCAGCTGCAGACGGAGGACTCCGAGGAGCCCCAACGAGTGGCCATTAAGGTGAGTAGTCCTAGCCAGAAACGTGGAGTCACCGCCCGACTAATGACCCCCTCTTATCCCCCAGAGCCTGCGAAAGGGAGCCAGCGAATTTGCAGAGCTGCTGCAGGAGGCCCAGTTGATGAGCAACTTCAAGCACGAGAACATCGTCTGCCTGGTGGGAATCTGCTTCGACACCGAGTCCATCTCCCTGATAATGGAGCACATGGAGGCCGGCGACCTTCTGAGCTACCTACGTGCCGCTCGTGCCACCAGCACTCAGGTAATCTTAGTTCATATTGGGTCAATTTTAATTCAGACAATAATGCGGACTGCATTAATGTAAGCTGATAATTATAGATTTTTGTAAATTAGATATTGCAATATTCATTAATTGTGCAGTTTAACTGGATTAACCGAAATTTCTACAAGTATTACAACTTTTATTGGCAATAGAGTGTACAAATTATAAGCAATTGTACTTTTAAAGCCTTCAATGCTTGATTTAATTTTTTTAATTTAAAATTGTCAAATTGCTCACTTGGCTAATAAGATGTGTATAAAATTAATGAATTGGAAAAGTATTTTCGCAAATAATGCAAAAAATCAGATTATGAGAAGAGGGTTTAACAAATATATATTTTATATCATATAATTATTGTAAACTTTTTAATTCAAAATAAACTAATTTTTGAAAAGAACTAAGCTCGTGAAAATAGACCTTATGACTGACTTTTTGATAATTAATATATTCCAAAGTAATGTCTATTTGTCCGCGTTCCAGGAACAGCAGCCCGCCGCAGGACTCTCGCTCTCCGAGCTCCTGGCCATGTGCATCGACGTGGCCAACGGGTGCAGTTACCTGGAGGACATGCACTTCGTGCACCGCGACCTGGCCTGCCGGAACTGCTTGGTCACGGAGTCGGCGGGCGGAGCGGATCGGCGGCGCACGGTGAAGATCGGGGACTTCGGGCTGGCGCGGGATATCTACAAGAGCGACTACTACCGCAAGGAGGGCGAGGGGCTGCTCCCCGTGCGCTGGATGGCCCCGGAGAGCCTCGTGGACGGGCTCTTCACTACCCAGTCGGACGTGTGGGCATTTGGGGTCCTCTGCTGGGAGATCCTCACCTTGGGGCAGCAGCCGTATGCGGCGAGGAACAACTTCGAGGTGCTGGCCCACGTCAAGGAGGGCGGACGCCTCCAGCAGCCTCCCATCTGCCCGGAAAAGCTGTGAGTCGTGCCTCCACTAGAGGGATATGCCTGTATGCCTCATATTTCTGGACATATTTCTGTTTTTCTTTCCGCCCAATCCCGAACCGAACCTCATGTTTTATATTCAGTAATGACCATGTTTTTTTCCAAACATTTTCTTGGTACTAAATCTTTTTTTTTTCGATTTAAAGATCATTTTTATTTATTTTTTTGTTTGTGTGCTCAAATAGAAGGATCTGTTTTAGTTTTTGTAATTTCTCTCATCACTGAGAAAAGAGTTTAAAGCCCATTACTAGTAAAGTAAAAGTGTATTTATTCTATAGAGTATATATATTTTTTATCAGGATTAATAGCCGAGTCGATCAGCCATATCCGTCTCTCTAACTTTCGTATGAGATCGAGATCTCAGCAACTATACGAGCTGGAGATTTGGGATTTATCATCCAGATTCAAGTAACTTATAATGTATTTATTATTTATAAAATATGGCCACAAATTCTGTAGAGACACGATAGAGAAATGTTAGTTCTAGTAACATTTATTAAAACTAAACAAACGTTTCAAGTCTAGCAAATATTTCGGAAATTAATAAGGAATTGCGTTCAACGTAAATGACTTCAGCTCTTAACGCCAGATGGCTCCTCATCTTTTTAGTTTGCCGCTACAATAGTGGCGCCATCTGTTAGGGCATAATTGTTTTGAAGTTCGATAACTGTGGATTATAATCGTTGGTTTTAATTTCTGAGCCTTTGAATGAGAGAATTATTACTAAATATATATTTCTGATTTTAGTTACTGACCACTTGCTTTATCCGCTCCTCCAGTTACGCTCTCCTCCTGCTTTGTTGGCGAACGGATCCGTGGGAGCGACCCAGCTTCCGGCGCTGCTACAACACACTCCACGCCATCAGCACCGATCTCCGGCGCAGCCAAATGGCATCCACATCCAGTGCGGCGGACCCGGCCGGCAGTTCCAAGCCGGAGTCCAAGGTGCGATTCGACGGACAGGCGCAGGAGCAGATCGATCAGAAGGAGCAAAAGGGTCAGAAGGATCAGAGGGATCAGCCGGAGTCGGAGAATCTCTCGCTGCGGGAAGTGACCGGCGTCGACTCCACCCCGCTTAAGGATGCACAATTGTATGCCAACGAAGGCGTCTCTCGACTCTAGAGGGGATTTCCTTACCCTTTACAAAGAACGTCTCAAACAAAATGGTCGGATTTGTGGCCATCAACTAGTTTTCCGATTAATCTAAGACAGCTTTAATTTGTATGTGCGTAACAGAATGTAAAATGGTCCATTAGAAAGTCAAATTTGTATTCAATTTTGAATTAAGATATGATTTTCAAATACAGGAATTATGGGAAACCATTTCCCTAAAGTTTATGGAACCTTTCGGTGTTCATTTCGGAGCTATTATTTTATCTGTAATACAATACCAATAGTTGGTTAAATTTGTATAAATAGCCTACTCAAAAAGTTAATTGATGTCAATAGGGGTTACTTGAAACGATTTCCAATGAATATTTAAGCAAAACAAAACCCTGATCCACAAAATAAAAGTACTTGTAGAACTGGTACTATTTCCTAAAAAATCATGTGGGTCTTTAAAAAATCGTATGAAAAAATTTACTGATCATTTGGGGAATAAGCCCAATGCAATTTTTAAGTTTTTAATACTTTTTTTAATACGTTTTTTGTTGTATTTTAAGCTATTGAAGACGGATCATCCAATATGTTTTGCTTTTAATAAATTAACATAGTTTTTTAAAATGAAGCCTAATATATAAAATAATAATTTAAAAGACCAAAAAAGGGATTTCCCATGCATTGAGGGTCCAGCCGTTTTTTCCGGAGCTCGTTTTCATTGTAATTCCCAATCTAATTCCACTCAAGACTAAGCTTAATTTTATTGAATTTGCCGAGTTTTTAATGTGACTTGGCCAGGAAAAGTTTGGTTCGGCGGGTTTTATTTTCATCGCTTTCCTTTGTGTTTCCCTTTCGCTCGGCTTTCTCGGGGAAAATACAATCAAATTAAATGTGAGCGTTGGTGCAAAAGTTTCGCGATACTACGAATCGGGGATGGGAGGGTTTTAGGAGGGCTATAAATAGAGCCGAGTTGGGGTACCGTTCTTGAAGGTCGCCCTTTAACTAATCAGCACAGAAAAAGGAACCACCATCCCCTCAGCGAAATGTAAAAAATAAAACCACCTGACAAACTTTCTCCCTTGCACGCACGCACGCACACGTTCGCACAGTGCCTCCCGCATGCACACGCACACCCACGCCCACGCGTCTACAAACATGCAGATTTGTCAAATGTTTTGACAAACTTTTTCTCCCCGCATCGCATTACACAAAAGCCTCAGAAGAGGGCGGTGGTGGGGGTGGATAAATCAAAAATTGTAAATAGCAGCACATAAATCGATTACCTTGCCAGGCTCTCGTTAACCCACGAAGAACGGAACATAAATAAACCATTTTTAATATGCGAATAAGCAGCTTTACTTTTTTTAATACCCTATCTCTGGGTTTATTATTGAAAATAGTATGGCGTGTATGTGTATAGTATCAAAAAGGAAGCAAAATTATAAGTTTAAATCTCCTAAATGACTTTTAAACATTTTCGTAGAAGGTATACCGAAAAATACTAAATAAAGGAGTGAAAAATACATTATCCATTTAACACTTTATCAATTAGTTATGAACATTTTAAATTGCGCTGCTAAAACTAAAAGGGCATCAAAATTGTACAATTTTTATAGAAGATAGCATTCAATATTGAAAGTCATCTATAGTTTTTTATTTCTAATATAAATTTGGTATTTCGGTTTTTTTTGAAAGATCGCCACTGTTGCATTTACAAGGTATTTAAGGTGCGACAAAGAATGTGAGAAAGCCTGCTTTATTTGCCAACAATACTGCTTGCTTTCTTTCCAGTTACTGCCTTTTGCGTGCCTTTACTTTCACCCACTCCACGGAATTTCCCAGCAGTGGGTGGTGGGCGGTGGCGAAACGGAAGCCGGCTTCAAGGTGACTTGCCATTGATTTCGCTTATTATTATGGAGGTATTTTTTTGTATGCCCTTTTTTTCGTGTTGCAAGGTGCTCTTTGCCCTTTGAGCTTTAGAGCGCGGCAAGGATTTAATTTTATGGCCCCCGGGACCGTCGCCCCAATGACTTATTGTGCTGATATGATTAAGTGGTTCGCTGGTTCCGAACCGCTGACTCCGGCTTTATGACAAGTGCAGGATCCTGCGTCGGAGCAGGTCCTGTGGATTCGGATTCTGGATTCGGTCCGGCTTTTGCCACTTGATGGTGCATGTTGAGCAGCTTCGCTTTAAATTTCGCTTTGATTCGATTCGATTTCAATTGATTTGCTCCATACACCTCAGAAGTTTAGCCCACCACTTAAAATATTCCCCCTCGCTCGACAGTCACAATTGATTGAAATTAGATGAGCTTTTCATAATACAAGACCTAAGCCGCAGCTCTCCCACGACAGCCATCTACTCGGATGTGCGGATGTTTGGATGCTTGGATGCTTGGATGTTTGGATGTGTGGCCGTGTGCGTTTTCCATTAAGTTAGACCCACCCGACTTCCCTACTCCCCGATCCGCACAACTAGCAGGTAAAAGTTTGCTCAAGACCCGTGCTCCTTCTCCGAACTCCGTTCTAAGGACTACATACTACGGACTACGGACTATGGACGACGGACTACGGACTACGGACTGCGAACTCCGGCCCGGGCAACGCTAATATCCCTCAAGTTGCCACCGACTTTGTGCCAAATTGGTTATTAAAAGAGTCAACTAGTACGAGCCAGAAATAAATTGAGAGGCAACCGCGCCAGGAATTCGCTCGCACAAGCAGTTCGAAAATAATAATAAAAGAGGGCAACTTCGAGGGCCATCAGGATGTGTTGCAACTGCTTTCCCATTTTCCTCGAGGGCATCTTACGAGCGAAAGTATTTCCAAGTATTCCGACAATGTGTTTTACACACTTGCAATGTATTTTTTCAGAGTCTCTGGTTCTAGTGCAATTTAAAATTAATCATTTTATAAGTTTGAAACTAAGTTAATATATTGATTTCAAGAGGAAACAAAATATTAGGATGTACTCACACAAAACTATTACTTTAATCGCTTAAAAGTATTTATTTTTTAAATTCAGGCTTTAGTGAAATTAAAGGTAAGGAATTCAATTCTTTTCGGTTTTTCTAGCTAATTGAATCATCTAACTAGTCCTAATTTCCCTTTATTGCGATATCAAGTTGATTTTGTATGAGTAGATAAATATTCGATCGACTTTGCCAGTATGTTTAAGAATACGAATAGACTGGAGTTGGCCAACATCTTAATCAGTTTCGATTGAGCTACATACAAGCGCTCTAGAATTGTTTATTAAATTGGTGTCAGACAAATAGAAGATATAGCTCAACCCCAAAACGCAATTATCAAGGAATGCTAAACGTTAACATTTCAATTAGACCATCCCAGAAAACAGGACAAAAAGAGAGATGGCCTGCACTAGAGACCCTCTCGCTCTAATCAATTGTCTTGGAAGATGGTCGTTAAAAGCTTTCGAACTAATTGAGTAATTTGCTCACCTTGATTGCTTTCGAGGGGAGTTTTATGTACGTGTAGTTGTCAGGACATTCGGTACACGGATACGTGCACACTTGCACTCGCATACACAAGCACACAGTCCCCCTTCCCCGTTCCTCCTGGCATACATGCATGCGCCGCCATTTGGTCCTTCATTATTTCGCACTAATTAACGTTTCGCGACAAAAGGTGGCGCTTTATTTTTACAACTGCAACTGCGTTTTACTGCTGCTCCTCTGCTGCAACAGTTGCTGCACTCAAAAAAATTGTGATCACCAAAGAGAACACACAAATGTACCTATGCAAGGATTTTCCCCTAATTTGTATGTTTATTTTAGTATTGTGAATGCCATATTACACTATTTGAACCAAATAAAAACAGAAGCACCGGATCAAATTCAAAGTATTTTTTTATGTGTACTGCTGCTGCCACGGGTATTGCTGCCACTTGAGGACCACTCGAGGAGGCGGGTTTCGCCTTAATTGCTGTTTATGAGCGGGTTGGCCCAGTAATTAAACAATTTCTTTTGGCCCGGCGAAAATAGTTTCACTAACGGCGCTAAGTAGTCAAGTTGGTCAAAGGTTTACTAAAATGTAGACAAAAATCCATCCACTAAAACGCACTAATTTAAAAAAAAATCATCCTGCCTATTGAGAAATAAAAGTTAACAAATAAATTAGCAAATTTGGGATTATGAGTATGTATGTATGTTGCATCCAGGAGAAATTGAAGGCGTCCTTGGGTTTGGCGGGTCGCTTATCCTGGTCGCTTATCCTGGTCGCTTATCCTGGTCGCTTATCCCGGGTAATCCTCCTAAGCCTTCTCCGCCGTATTCCGCTCGATAAAGTAGGGCGCCACCCCGATCTCCTTGCACCTGTACCTCAGTTTGCAACATTCCGGGAAGGGTTCGCCCGGGAAGATGCGTTCGCCGCGATTGCAGTTCACGATGCGCAGCTTTCCACATCTGTAAGGAATTGTAGGTCAATTCAAATGCACTGTTTGGATCCATTTACATAGATAATACTAATTTGGGCGTTGTACTTAGCAACAAAAAGTAGGCAATACATTTCCTTACTTTAACCGTTTAAAAAAAAGAGCAAAACAGCAAATTAAAGGAATTAAAAACAAACAATTTAAGAATGAGGAAATAGTAGGAATAAAATAGTTTAATTAATCTTGTCATCATTTCCTCCGGATTACTCAGAGTAAGCTACTCTCCATCATGGACTATATATTATATTATGAAATGTATATAATAAAAACAAGAGAGAACGCTATAGTCGGGTGCCCCGACTATCAGATACCCGTTACTCAGGTAAAGGGAGTGCGAGGGAGATGGAGATAGAAACTTTGATCACGCATAACTTTTAAACGAATGGTCCGATTTGAAAAATTTCTTCTACATTTCGATAGGTATTGATAAACACAATAAAACTGCATTTTTACTTTTCCGAAATATTTAAATGTATCGTATATAAGCGATTGTGGGCGTTAAAGGGGGCGTGGCACCTTTTTGAAACAAACTTGCGCTGCGTAGGAACTCCTAGAATCTGCATGCAAAATGCCAATCTTCTAGCTTTTATAGTTTCCGAGATCTCAGCGTTCATACGGACAGACAGACGGACAGACAGACGGACAGACGGACAGACGGACAGACGGACAGACGGACATGGCTATATCGACTCGGCTAGTGACCCTGATCAAGAATATATATACTTTATAGGGTCGGAAACGCTTCCTTCTACCTGTTACATACTTTTGCACGAATACAATATACCCTTTTACTCTACGAGTAACGGGTATAAATATTTCTGGTGTGTAATTTGTTTTTGTGAAAGCCGATCTTAAGTTGATAGTTTTGTCCTACATTTACAATTTGTCAATTTGTAATTTGCTATATGCTACGTTTGTAGAAAGTTCTATCACCCTCACTAAGTAAGGAAATGAGGGTAATTTCATCACACATGTATTTTTTTGACAAAGTCACGCAAAAGCCTTGTAGTTATACATCACATTTTTTAGTAGCACTGGAAGTAGGTATTATATAGTCAGGACTCATAATAGTATATTTGTGTTAGATAGGGAACGCAGCGAACAAAGTACAAAGAAATTGCACAACTGTAGACAAAAATGTAATTTTAAATGTTTTTTTAAACGCCGTGAAACTTTAAAATGACAGGAATATCTGTGAGCTTTCTTCAAAATTATAATTGTCCCTAAGTCTGCAGAGTTCCCATTCATACATCACTGGGCTGAAGTATTTTTCTTGTCTATAAAGTTTTATTTTGAAAAAAGATTTTTTATTGAACCGTCTTAAGAATATAATAAACTTCTCTATCTCATTATGATTATGGAAAGCGTGCCACATTATTAGAAATAAAGCCTTTGAGTTCTTAAGATTGCAAATGGCTTTGATCAAAAAGATGCCTTGTCTCAAAAAACGTTATCAAAGCGTAAATATGTTACCAAAAAAACACTTAAAACCCAAAGAGCAAATCCCATTTCAGATCTAGGGCAAAACTTTTAGTTTCCCTCAATTTAGTTTTGTCTTCCCGCGAAAAGCCGCAGCCGAAAGCATGTGGGAGGGGTGCCGACCCCTCGAAATTCATTTAGTTTTCAGCTCTTTAGTTTGACCTAGAAATTACAGTCTCATCTTCTGCGCTACTTGGCGAACTCGAAAGTAAAACTAGAAACTCGGCGGAATTCGCATTCGCAAACGGTTGACAAGCCGTTTCAATGGGTGTGCGTGCGTCTTATCAGTGGCAAGTGTGTAGCGTAAAATACAGCCAGAATAAAATGTTTGGTTTTGGAGAAATTTGAAAAATATACAAATAATTCAGCTTACATATTTAACTTTTGGTTCATCAGACCGAGCTTATGTCGTCCTATGATTCAAAGTTATAAAGAAAACTGTAGGTGGTGTGTCGAAGATTGAAGCTGGTTCATCAAATATGTTTAGTAAATATTTGTTTTTCAGGTGCAGAATAGTACTGACTTCTATATATGCTTTCTAGCATCGTTTGGTCATGATTTTTACCAGTCTCTGGAACTTACCCCTCGATCTGTATGGAGCCATCCTTGTTGCACGTCAGCCGCTGGCAGGGCGATATGTTATTGTTGATCCCCAGCTCCAGGGTGTCTCCTCGGTATATGCACTTGCCCGGGTTATCTGGCGACTCAGAGCGCATTTAGAAAGCACACATAGGGGGGAGGGGTGGTGGAGGGGGTGGTGGTTGATCCGCTCACCTGCATCCGGCGGTATCAGGCCCGAGTAACCGCTCACCTGAGCGAACAACATCGAAAGCAGGGCACCTGCGATTACCAATGGGATCAGCGGACTTGCGTGGCGCTCCGGGAACATTGCGACCGCGTTCGTGTTCAAAACTCGACTGACTTGGACCCGGACTCCGATCGGCGTTGTCTACTCCGCACATAGGGCATACTCGTAGTGATTGCCGAGTTGTCGATCTGCCGCGTTGACCCGCTTCCACTAAATTGGCGAAGAGATTTGTCAAATGTTTTCAAACCTTACCCATTACAAAAATAAAGTTAAAAACACTCCCAGCATATTTATACTCTATTATCCTACTTCTATAATTTAAAATCGATATACCTCAAATATTTTATGGAACTATTTAAAAACCTCATCTTAATGTGAATCCAATTATAGGAATATGTTTTCCTTCCCATTTAAACTCTTAAAACGCAACAAGCAAATATACATTTACATTGCAAATAGCTCGACCATTTTATGGAATTATGGGATCGAATTGTAGGATAAAGTCTATTGGGTATCCCATAGTCGAGACTCGCAACGAGTTGGGTTTGTTTGCGTTTTTGTTTTCGGGTCCGTTGATTATTGTGTATTACTATTTAATTGAAGACGCCACTCCCAGCGGCAACTGTTCTTTTGATTCTCGATTCTGGTGAGGGTCAGAAGGTTTATCGGCAGCTTTTCATTACAGCACTTTACTGCCTCAAATTGTTCTAGAATGTTTGCACAATGAATGGCAAATGCGGGACACATACGGGCGAAATCGAGAGTCAGAGATAACTGGGCGCAGGCAATCACGAATCGCCATCTAGGGCTGGGAAACTACAAGATTTTCTAGTATTTCACGACATCCAATTTTAATTATTTTGTATTTTTTTTTAACATAAATTTTAATTTAAAGTGCAATACTTATAATAATTAAAGCCAGCTTAAGTAGGTCAGTTATGTTGAGTTTATTTAGAATTTTATTTATTAAGGACATTATTTCATCTTATTTTTTAGATTTGTTTTTTTTTAGATTTTTTTTTTTTTTAGAATGTCTATTTTGTTTTAAATTGGAATTTTGTCTGGAGGCTTTGCTTAGGTACATCGTCAACGTTTTCCTTAAATCTTCGCTGGTTAGAAAACGTATCCATCTGCAGGCCCAGGAAAATATATGTGGAGCGGAGTACGTTGGGCTCCTTTGAAGCATTCCATTTTATTTTAATTAAGATGCTTTTCGGCTCTATTCAATTGGGGGAAGCACCAATTCGACGAATGTTTCGGCCAGACTCTATTTGCGCATTTAAAGAACTAGTTCAGTGGCAAGTGGCAAATCTTAATGAAATGCATTCGTTAGCTTAACCCGCACACAAGAGCAGACAAATGTTGTGGCAACTTGTGCAATCCAATTGAGACGAGTCCTTCGACAGTTCCCCTCCTGGCCTTCGCACAATGTTTGCCCTGCTGGCTATTAAATTTTTAATCAAGTTAAAGTGTTGTCAAACACTTCATTCAGTCGGTTCCATTCAACCAGCCCCGCACCGAAGACCCCCATCGGAGTTCCCATTTGGTTGGCAGTCAGAAACAGCAGGCAGGCAGGCAGACAACTTAGGAATATCAGATATATGTGGTGATATGGGAACATGTAACTTGCCGCTCCCACTCCAGCTCGACCTTCTTTTCCGTTCATTTGGTGTCGTGTTAGTTATGCATGCATTCATTCGTTCATTCAGCGACATTCATTTCGTTTCATTGCATTTTCCTACAACCTTCCATGGCATACGGATGCCCCACTGCACCACCCATCCACCCATCCACCCACTAACCCACCGCTCACCACAGCACCATAACCGCATTGTAGGAACGTCACCGCACTTCGCCATTACACCCACCATCGTTTCCTTTGGCTGCCGCCAATCCCTGTGGACACTTGTTCGTGTTCTTCCCCTTTATGATGTAAGGCTTTCCTTGCCGGTTTCTTTTTGTCCCTGTTACCTCTTATAAGGCCGAGTATACAGGCCCTTCCCAGCTTTCCTTCCACTTTCAGGCGATAAGAGAACCAAATTCTGAGAATCTCGTATTCTCAGTATTGTCTTTCAAGGAATTCGAAAACTTCAACCAAATATTTGTTTATATTAAACTCATTCAAACTTTTGCATTTCTAGACTAGAATTAGTTTTAATAAACTATATATTTTGTTTGTTAAATTGAACTTCTTCACAGAAAACATATATGTAATATAAAAATGACAAGACAATTTAAACCAAACAGTAAGTGATTGTTCGAACCTTGGATAGATTTAGAATAAAGTATAAAAAAATAAATAAATAAAAATGATGACAAATTTAAAGAAATTAACAGATTACTTAATAACAAATACAGTACAGTACAAATAATTAAATATGCGTAAAGTACATCAGATGATGATAGCAAAAAAGGGTAATGTAAATTCGAACCCCATAACCTGATACATACTGTGCCTTTCCTGTTCGCCTTTGTGGTAAATGAAATGCAAATAAATTGTCAACTGCAGCTAAATAAAATTTTAATTTATAGCGAGTTTGACTAGCTTTCATTGTGCGAAGGGTAGACCGAGGGGGGAACGGCGGAGGGATATTGCCCCAAGAAAGGTGAATGCAGTTGAAAACCATCTTAGTAATTGAAACGGAAGAAAGATTTCCTTTGTCATTCGAATGCTGTAAATATTTATTGAGCTCTGAGATTTCAAATGGCAGCATACGATGTTTATGGTAATGAATAAGACAATGTCAATGCATATAGTATTACATACAATTTTAAATGGTAACTGGAAATGGAAACAAGGTAAAATAAAGAAAGCAAAGCCCTTGCAGTTATAACAAAAATTTAATACTCTATTGTATGTTGCTTTGTCTGAGTATGTTAATAAAAAAGAATTTACTCAGAAACCAGGTTGCCCAGAAAAGGACGAACGGACATACGGACATGGCATTCTAAAGATGCTGAACAAGAATATATATATACAGCACTACAAACTTTTAACTGAAAATTGTATACAAATTATATGTTTCATGGTCGATTAGAGTAACAACATTTTGTTAATGAATAATTTAAACACCTCTCCTTAACCTGTAAATTTTAAAAAGAACCTTTGCCTCAAGTGCGTTTTGCTTGAATTTAAAGTAAAGTTTTCAAAATGGCCTAAAAATTAAAAAAAAAACTGTTGGGCTTTGGAGTCCCCGATGATTAATAACATACTCTCCTATAACTTATAATTTTACCATCTTAACATTTTGTTTTTTTTGGTCATTGTCGAGTGTTTTTCCATAAATAGCTAAATATGTAAGTATGCATCCCAAAGCCTTCTGAATAGACTTGAAGTATAAATGTAACTAAGTTGGAAGAAAATCTAATTTCTTTAAGATTTCTTAATAAACTCGTTTTCAGAAAATATATTCCAAAGATTGTTCCAAGACATATTATAATAGTAGTTACTGTACAATTACTTGAAATTGTTTAAGCGATGTTTTTACCGGGCCTTCGATGATACGATAAATATCGACTGGTCAAGGTCTTCGAGAACCCGCGAATCACCCACCTTGTTCAATCTGCTCGCTGGGCACCAGAGTCGCAACTGCATGCGTTGGATGGGATTGGATGGGATTGGATCTGACCAGTGGGTTCGCATCCCCCTGTGCGGCATGTCGCCATGTGGGCACCCCCTCGGCCGCAGCTAATTCGCATTTGATTATTTAAATTAGCGAGATGAGTGACAGACAGCGGGAGGCAATGGAGGCAATGGAGGCACTCGGCGAACGGCATACACACGCGCTCAAATTGAATAGTTTGTGCGGCCGATGTCCGAAAAGATCCAAAAATAAATGTCGCATTGGAGCGGTGGCCTGTACCTGGACCAAAACCTGGAGCAAAAAACAGAGGCAAAAGCAAAAGCAAATCGGACCATTGAGTGAATCGGCAGTGTTCCGTTGGAACGCCGAACTGCGAGACCAGCGAGGCGAATTCACATTTCACATTTTTATTTAGAAAATGTATTCAGTGCAGGGGCGACATTCGCAGCGGCAACGAAAGCGACAGCCATAGCACACCCACACAGTGGCACGCCCGCACACCCACACACCCATACATCCGCGGAAACGGACACGGATACGGACACGGATACGGACACGGACACGGACACACATACACTGCAGATCGAGGAGAAAGCAAAAGGAAAGTGGCCCAGAAGGAAAACAGCTCCTGAGTGCGATAGAAATAGGGAAAGAGACAGAGCGCCGGAAATGGCCAAATTAGTGACTTACATCTTCATCGTCAGCTCGCTGGTGCTCTGGTACCTCCTCCTCTTCGGGGGCAGGGGCGTCAGGGGCGTGGAGGCCACCAACGGGCACGGGGGGCAGCTGGAGGGCCGCGACTTTCACCACCACGGCGGCAGCCACCACATACGCCGTAAGTTCACAGGAAAAGCATTCCATTTAAAGTCCAGCAAACCGACCTGAAATCGGGAACTAATGGTGATAATAGCCTTATTAGCCTTTCGCTCTCTGCACCATAAAACTTTCACCAAAAATGGCAAAAATCAATTTAGAAACATTTATTTTTATTTAAGAAGCTTCCTTTACCGACAATTCAATCTTTTTGGTTTATTGAGGCGATACTTTATAATAATAATATAAATAAAAGTAATAATAACAATCGAATCAGTATCAAATAAAAGTGTTGTTTACCTAATTTTGATCAATAAATAACTTTTCATTATTTCCAAGCTTCAACGAAATTTAATTTTATAGATTTCCGTGAGTTCTGAAGTTTTTTCTGCAATGCATGTCGTAGAAAGTGAAATGCAACCTTTATTTCAGTAAGTTACTAAAAATCAAACGATTTCGTCGTGAGCAGATGCACATTTAAAGTGCTCCAAAAATATATACCATTGTATAATCGTAGGAATTGGCATGACAAAACAGAATTTAAATAACCGATGATTCCGGCCAAACTGATTTCACAGGCCTTGAGTTAAGATATTATATCCTTTAGATATTACCAATTTAATGGACTTTTCGCAGGTAACATCAACCACTGCTGGCGTCGCTACGATGGCTACAACCTGCAGAACACCGTGGTCAACAAAAAGGAGCAGCTGAAGAAGCCCTATGGCATATTGTGCAACTTCAAGTGCACCTGGTTCTTCACCGTCAGGTGAGTCCTGCGGTCCTTTAATTTTTTCCGATTCTTGCCTAAACTCCACGTATCCACTGTTGCAGCTACCCCACTTGCGAGTTCATCTACGACTATAAGTTATCCTGCGTGCTCTTTACGTCACTGCCCGACTGCACCAGCGTCACGTGTACGCTTTTGAACTACTTCGAGTAACTAGTGTATCTATTTAAGCCTTTTTTTTGATAGCATAAGTCTGACTAATACTAGATTTTATATGGACATGTAGAGAACGACAGGAAGTATTATTAAATCAAACACCTAATTTATGAGAATAAACTGTTTTATTTACAACAAGGGGTGTGTATTTGGCTTCTTTCGATTTCTAAACCAAATGAAATCAAGAAACAACAAGAGAGAACGCTATAGTCGGGTGCCCCGACTATCAGATACCCGTTACTCAGGTAAAAGGAGTGCGAGGGAGATGGAGATAGAAATTTTGATCACGCATAACTTTTTAACGAATGGTCCGATTTGAAAAATTTCTTCTACATTTCGATAGGTATTGATAAACACAATAAAACTGCATTTTTACTTTTCCGAAATATTTAAATTTTTAAAATCGTATATAAGCGATTGTGGGCGTTAAAGGGGGCGTGGCACCATTTTGAAACAAACTTGCGCTGCGTAGGAACTCCTAGAATCTGCTTGCAAAATGCTTTTATAGTTTCCGAGATCTCAGCGTTCATACGGACAGACAGACGGACAGACAGACGGACAGACGGACATGGCTATATCGACTCGGCTAGTGACCCTGATCCAGAATATATATACTTTATAGGGTCGGAAACGCTTCCTTCTAGCTGTTACATACTTTTGCACGAATACAATATACCCTTTTACTCTACGAGTAACGGGTATAAAAATACTTCAACTCATGCGTATTGGGTTAAAAACAATAAAGCTATTTGGATTTTCCGATAAATGTATATGCGTGTTGTGCCCTTAAGATTATAATTATATGCCATCTATGTGCCTTTTTGAGTTCTGTGTGATAGACTAGTGATGCGATGAATCCGTGAGCCAATGACCATGCCAATTCCTTGTCGAACTAGGACGAATTTATGCTGGTAGCGCCAAAATACTTCGAGTCAAAGTTCACGACTCGTGTCTCACTTAAAGTTGCCGCAAAGCCAGGGAGTCAACAGTGCTCTGTTCGCACTCCATTTGATGGCAAAGTTGAAAAGCCGCAAAAGCTATCAATGGACCCATCCAAACCAGCCGAACTTGCCACGCCCCCTTTTGTCTGGGGCGGTCCACGCCCAATTACCTGGCCACATACCTGTAAGCTGGCCAAAAAGCAATCCACTTTTTGTAGTAAACAAATTTGAAACACTTTGTTACCGCCGTCATTTTTTCCATCGCTTCGCATCGCTTCCCCTTTTTGCCCGGTTAAAAGCGATATATCCGCTCAACTTGATGGCTGAAAGGCATGGGTTGGGGGTCGGGGGTCGCGGGGAGTTAACCAAACTTGGTTAGTCCATAGCAATGGCTGTACCTGAACCCCAACTCGGCTAAACTCCTGGCCGCGCCAACAGCCGCAAATAAATCGTTCGACATTTATAAGCCAGTCAAAGTTATGCCAAAGCGATTCCTGAAAATTTGTGTACCCAGGCTGCGGGGTGGAGAGGGGCTGTGAAATGGGGGGGGAGGGAGGTTTGGTTGTCAGGTGCTGGCTAAAAATAAGATAAATTATGTGGCTGTAGTCAATGGAGCTGTTAACTGGCGCACCTGCGCCGGGACCCATCCTCCCATCCTCCCATCCTCCAACCCTTTGACCAACTGACTGCAGAGTGGGTCGTGAAATTGCGAGCCAGAGTGGGACCGCTTCCATTCTTTTGGGCCGGACCAGATGGGGCCGCACTTTAATGGAATCAAACGAAATGGCATTGATCGCTGAAGGCCAACGGACCCGCAAACCAGAAGGCAGAATTCAGAACGCAGAAGATCAAGCGATCCACGCGGCCCGACTTTATTCGGTTCGCTTTGGATCTGTCAGTCAGTCGGTTGTATTTGGAACTGGGATTTGGGTCGTGGTCGTTGTGTATTACTGAATGTATATATATATATACAACTGTACATGGGGGCAGGGGATCGCTTGGGGAACTATGCGAAGTGCGTAGTGCGTAGTGCGTTGTTTGCTAGGCCTTTGCCGCTCTATTGCATTGCGGTGCGTTGGCGGTGGCTTCTATTTCAATGTTGATTGGCAAATTACGGCAATTTCTGAATTTCTGGGGGCTGGGAATTAGATTATTTTGAAATAGTTATAAACAAATTAATTGCGCATTACGACTAAATTGTCCAACCATCTGTTGGGGCGAACTGAAAGAGGCATTGTGGAGTGCCCATGTAAACAGATTATAATCAAATATTGCGTCTAACTCTGTAAAAAAATAGCGAATTCAACTTAATTGAAAAACATGAAACCTTTAAGTTAATTGATTTAACAATTCGGAATGCTCTATAAATATTAGGCCATACATATATTTAATTAAATTACTCATAAAAAAAGCTTATTTCATTACCAAATCCTTTCAAGTATAGAGATTTATCAACTTGAAATGCTAGCTAAAGAACTAAACAATACATACATTTTATTAAATTACATAAATGAAATAAAATAAAATACTTTTTTAAGGATGTAAATATTTATTATTGAGAATTGAAAATACATATTTCGTTAAACTAATACAAAAAATAGTAGAATTAGCCAGGAATGAATCATCTCATGTATTGTGCTGCTAGAAAAATGATTCATAACGCAATTTGGTTTTTTTTAAAACGAAGATATTTGGCATTTGATTTGAGTGATTGATTAGATCATTGACTTATTATGCCGAGTTAAAGATACCTAGCAAATACACTAAGCATGTTGCATTCCTTGAGTTTATGCATTCATAGCGAGCCACCCCATTCCCCAACCAGCCCCTTCACCTGAATTGAGTGATGCGATAGCTGACTGATTTGCCACACAAAAGGTGCTAACAGCCACAACTACAATCCCATGAGATCCGAAACCGAAACCGAAATGGAAACCGAAAAAGAAACTGAAACGAAAAATGGAAAACGAGGATGGCAAAGTGTGACTGACTCTCCCTTTTGCTCTGGGCTTACACTGAAAAAACACATCAATATACTTTGCACTTTGTTTGGCTTGCCAAGTTCTAACCACATTTTGTAAAATATAATTCAACATAATATTATGGCGCCCAACGTGGGGCATCATGGATTATGCACTAGCATTTTTTTTTATTCAAACTTAAAGCGTGGTAATGGAGAACATGCGGTTTGGGTAATGAACAAGAAATCGGAAGATAAAATATAGATGTTAATTGAATCCCATAATTTTATGTGATATTTTGCCATACAGGTTATGATTAGATATTTAGTATTTAGTATTTTTCTCCGTGTGGTAATCATATTAGAGAGCAGGAGGTGTAGAAAATGAAGAAGAAGAAGGTGGAGGCAGATGGGGTCGTACACCCACACAACCGCATGCGATAATTTATCAATTGGCATCAATTTAGGCGCACACAAGCTCAAACTCGTGGCATTTCTTTGCCGTTTGTTTATTTGTATCATGTTCTGTTCGTCCCATTTTGATTCGCTCGCCTCGCTGGCTGATTTTGGGCACACTCGCGACATCCATCGCTGGCGGCGGTTAAAACCGCGCCGAGACATCCACGCATCGCACTCGAGGCATCCGAAGGCGTCCAAAGTCGCCACATGGCAGGCTCAGGTTCAGATTCAGTTTTGGCTTCAGCCTCAATTTCAGCCTCAGATTCCGATTTTGGCGGCGGGTGTGTTTACGATTGTTGTGCAATGGCGAAATCGATAGCAGTAACGAGAACCACTAAATCTGCGGCAGCAACAATAACTGCAATACACACACGCAAGAGCACCACAACAATTGCATTTGTTTTGCTGCTAATCCTCTGCTGTTTATGTGATTACAACTATGGAAGTACGTAGTCCCAATCATCTCCCTTTTTCAATATTTTGTTTTGATCACGTTTTTTTCGAGTGGGTGTTTGTGGTGAAAATTCAATGTGACGTTACAGTTCTACCGAAACGACGTTGCTAATGCGCCATGTGGTCAACTGATTGCTTCCAAAAAAAAACAAAACTCCTAAAAGTGGTTATATAAAAGTAATACAGCAGTAAAAAAAAGACATGGCCGAATAAAAAGCACAATTCATATTGAAACAATAATTTGTGCAAAGATTTTTTTTATTTTTTAGTTAAAGTGCACAAATGAAATACATTGAATTCATGTTTATCTGAACATAAATTCAAAATAAACTAATATAATTCAATATATAGAATTGTTTGGCATAAACATAAAATCAAAGATATGAAAATACAAGAGTGTAATGCATTTTACTCCATTTATTAGTAACAGTGTTTAGTTAGAATACAACAAATCAACTTTAAATACGTTTTGAAATAATTTCACCGGGACGTCCTTTGGCTTTACAAAAAAAAAAACGTTAAGTTCATTCATTCCCACTAGTATTTACTGTAGTCAATCAAAAAAAATCCTGCTTAGCATGCGATTTCAACTCTGTACTGCTAACTAAAATTGTAATTTTGTTTTAAGTCGAAAGTGAGGCCAGACAAATAAATCGAGAATGTATTGGGTTTAATTGGCAGTCGGAATCCTTACGCAACAAAGGACTTCGGCACACAGATTAGTCACTTACACATGGCCAATCGAGTGCAGTGCCGAAGAATACGAAAAGTTGTAACTATTACCCACTTGCAGGCTGGGCATCACAATGCTGGAGGAAGCACAATTCCGGCTCGATCCAAACGCCAGACGGAGAATTTAAGCGACCCTTTGGCATACTCTGCACATATCGCTGCTTTCTATGGTTTCCGCCAATGTAAGCTATGCAATCACTCACCCACTTCCACACCCACAAGCACACACACATCCACACCCACACCCACACCAAAATGCACCTCATGACCACCCACTGCCATTGAAATACTCAGCCAGCACATGCAATTTGCAATTTATGCATGCCTCTGTTATTTTGTAGTGTGAATTGCATTTTAAAATAAAATAAACTTGTTTGGCTTTTGCTTGGGGTTTGCTTTTCGGACTTGAGCTCGGGGCACACACATACAGACACACGCACACACACACACACCCAGGCACACACGCACGTACCTATATTCCATATATGGCATTTGAATTGCATAACAATTAAAATGGCTGGCAGCATTGTTTCGATTCGTTTGGCTTCTTTTGTTGAGTTGGCCG